GCCCTTTTGCAAGAACAGCTGTGCCAGAGTTATGGCTTGCCCAAGGTCAACCAGCAGCTGCACATGGAGGAGTGGGGAATCAAACCCGGTTCTCCCAGATTAGAGTCCGGGCACTTAACCACTACTCCAAACTGAAGGAGCTCCACGTGGAGGAGGAGGAGGAAGCAGCCGCAGGTGAGCCTTCTCCCCCGCCCCCCCTGCACTGACGGTGAGGCCTGGGCCTGCCAATCCTTCTCCAACACTGACAGCGAGGCCCGTGTGGCTGCCAGCCACTGGGCCCGCCAATCCTCCCCACCCCTGCACTGGTGGGGAGCCACGTGGGCCTGCTGAGCCTTCCCCCCCCAGGCACCAGCGGCGAAGCCCGAGTGGCTCCCAGTTGCCGGGTCGGCCCTGCCTCCCCCCCCCAACAGCCAGAGCGTTTGCTGCGCATGCAAAGGGAATGCTTTTACTTTTGGGGGGATTTAAATATCCCCCGTATATTCTGTTCAACTTTTTAGATTTTAGATTTTTCTGCACACCTGGGGACTACTCCAAGTGTGCAGGAAAATCTCTCTAGCACCCCCCCCCAAAGGAAAATCTCTTTAGCCCCGATGTGCAGATTTAGATATCCGCACGCAGGGGGCGCCTTGGCTATTAGATATATATATACGCCATTTATGATTCTAATCACAAAAACAGAAGTCAACCATGAGCATATACTCAGATATTAACTTTGGCTCATTTATGACTATTGCTTAAAAGCATGCTGGGAGAATTTTTAAAAAATGCTAACATGCTACTATTCTGCTAAGGCTTGTGGCCTCAGCTGCCCAGCTACAGCTGCACGTGTCTCTGATATCAGTTAGCCCAGCTAAATGGAGAACAACAACACCCTGTAACCATATCAGCTATATGGACACTTTTAGAGCTTCATAGTCTAAGAAGAAGGAGTGTCTATTGTTTAGCTAAAGGGGGGAAAAACTTTACTTGGGAAGACCCAACCCACAGGTCTTAGCCCAATTAGAAATTTGTGATGAAGTTGATGGAACCGATAGTTCTGCTTTGCTTGCTTATGGCACATTGAGTATAAAATCCTATGCCACCCATTGGAATTTTAGAGGAGTTGGTGTGGGTACTCGAGGGTCCCAGAACCTTGTTTATTGGTGCTCCTCTCTTATTAATTAATAGTATTATTGTTAGTCTACAGGACTGTTTTGTGTGTTTCTCAAACTGGGTTGGGAAAACACAACCAGGGACACAGTTCGTGTCTAACTCTTGTCTCCCTTCCACCCATGGAATGCACTGTTTATGCCAGTTGTGTTGGAAGGATCAGGGCGGAGGCACGTCAGCTTGGAAGCGTGTCTGTGTTGGGGAAGATGCCTAGGCCTCCCTACATGGCTGAGGGTTAGGGCCGCCAAGTGGGGGCGGGGGGTGGGTAAACCCCCGCTTTGGAGGCCCGATTTCCGCCGCCGCCGAATTGGGCCCCGGGGGGAACTCCGCCCCCCGAAACGCAGTGTGGCTCGATCGACGTCGATCACTTTGGGGACGTGGCCCCGATCGTCGGAGGGAAAACGACGATCGAGACCACGCCCTCAACGGGATCTCTGGAAGGTCCCCGGGTTCAAGACTCACCTTTGCAGACTGGGCAGCAGCGCTCTGGGTCTTGGACAGGCTGGGGGCAGGGGGCAGGGGGACAGAGCTCCTCCTGGCACCGGATGTGCCCGTCCTGAGTGGGAAGCAAAGAAGGAAGACAGGGATGAATCTGGTGGCATTTTATAATCCAAAGCAAATTAATTGCTATACGCCCCAGGCTTTTTTTCCCCTGGGGGAAC